GCCTATGGCTTAGCAGTGCTTTGTCCAATGGACTAGGCTGCTAGATCTCCTGTGGATGGAGGCTCAGGAAAAGAAAAGAAGTATCAAGGAAGAATCATTTTTTTACAATCAGGAAAACTAGATGTTACTGAAAGATAATATATATAACTAAAATAAGTCTCTGATTACTTATAGATAATCACTAATGGATTTTTCAGGCCATTTTTTTCATTATCTTTTCCAGTGCAGGGAGATAGTATGATTTAGTTGGAAAAATATTTGGCATCAGGGAAAATTAATGCAGCATCTTTAGCTCCCTGAGAACAATGCTCTTGAAAGTTTTGCTTGAGAAGTAAGGCATGTTAGTATTGTTGTATTTAGTAGACTATGGCTCATAGCACCCTATGAACAACAGATCAGAACCCTGCCATATCCTATGCCGTTTCATGATCTCCAACATACTTGAGACCATTGTTATAGCCATGAAGTCAATTGATCTTGCTGAAGATCTTCTTCTCTCTGACTGACTCAAATTCAACATACTCTATTTTTTTTTAGTTTCTCTGTTGTTGGTGTTGTTATGTGCCATTAAGTCACCTATGACTCAGAGTGACCCTATGTATAACAGCTCTGAAGCCTGCCCTATTCTTAGCTAGTCTTATTGACGCCAGTACATCTATCCTCATTACCCAATTACTGTATCAATCCATCTCATCGGGGTCTTCCTTTCCTGTGCTGTCCCTCCACTCTTCCAAGCATGATCTCCTTCTCCAAGGACTCATTCCCCTCTGGCCATGTGCCCCAAATATGTGATATAGAACTTAAAAATCCTAGCCTCCAAGGAGAAACTTGGTTTTACCCTCACCAAGACAGATTCACATGGTTTTCTTGGAGGTCTGTGGTATGTTCAAGACTCTTCTCCAATGCCACAACTTAAAGGCATCAATTCTTCTGTCCTTTTTAGACTCTGATGCATAGCAAGTAATTGTGAAGGCCTGGATCATGTGCAGCTCAGTCTCTAGTTGATATCGTTACTGCTCAGTACTCTACGAGGTCCCTAACAGTTGAGTTTCCAAGTGTAATCTGTCTTTTTTTTCCTGACTGATGGTGCCAAGAGTGTTGATTGTGAAGCCAAGCAAGCTGTAATTGTTAATTGTCTGTAACCATATATCATAGTACTGCCAACTGGTCTAGTAGTGAGAATCTTTGCCATCTTGATGTTGACCCTCAATCCATGTTGAAGACTATAGTCCTTGACCTTCTGCAGCAAGCGCTTCAGGTCCTCCTCAGTTTCAGCAAGCAAAATTGTGTCATCTGCATAATGTAGATTGTTGATGAGTCTTCCACTCATCCTGATGTCAAATTCTACCTCATAAATCCCATCTTCCCAAATGATCTGTTCTGCAAATAGATTGAAAGTTATAAACACAGGATGCACCCCTGACACACTCCTTTGTTGATTTTGAACCATGCAGTGTTTCCTTGCTCTGTTCTGACAACTGCTTCCCAGTCTAAGTATAGGTTTTACAAGTGTTCTGAGATTCCTATTCTCTTCAGGACCAGCCACGATGTGTTGTGATCCACATAGTCAAATATCTTTGCATAGTCAATTTAACACAGATAGACATTCCTCTGGTACTTTCTGCCAAGATCCATCTGACTTTGACGATAATGTCTCTAGTGCCACAATCTCTTCTAAATCCAGCCTATGCTTCCAGCAGTTCTCTGTTGATCTAGTTGTTTTTGGATAATCTTTAGCAGGATTTTGCTTGCATGTGACATTTTTGAAATTGTTCGATAATGTCCCTACTCTGGTGGGTCACCTTTCTCTGGTTTGTTAATAAGTATAGATCTCTTCCAGCTAGTTAGCTAGTTAGGTAGGTAGGTAGCTATCCTCCAGATTTCCTGGGGCAACCTAGTGAGTGTGTGCAGGGCAGCATCCGTTTGTTGACATATGGCAGTTGGTATTCCATCAATTCCTGAGGCCTTATATTTTTGCTAAGTCCTTCAGAGCAGCCTGCACTTCCTCTTTCATCACCATTGCCTTGTGATCATATGTTTTTTCAAGAAATTCTTCTGTATCAACCAATTATTTTTGGTCCAGTGAGTCTATATACTCCTTCCATCTTCTTTTAATGTTTCTTAGATCATTCAGTATTCTGCCCATAGCATCCTTTAGTATTGCAACTTGCAGCTTGAATTTGTTCTTTAGTTTCTTCATCTTAAGAAATAAACACAATAGAATGTTATGCAGCACTGAAAGAAACAAAGAACTCATGAAATATTATACAAAATGGGTGACCATGGAAGATATTATGCTGAGTGAAATATCTCAGTCACAAAAAGACAAATACTCCATAATGTCACTGTTATAGAGCAGGACAGATATGGAGGTTGGGGGATAAACAAAGACAAGAGGGGATAAATAATGTACACAGCATTGAAACAGATGAGGGAGAGAATTGTATTAAAGGAACATATGATTAGATTTTATTGGCATGATAAGAGTCCAGAATAAGAGCAGCATAGTAAAGTGGTCAGGAGGTAGGGGGGGTTGGGGACTGTATAATAATGAAAGAACTTTTTCCCAAAGAAAAGAGTTAATTGAGCAGGAGGGGCAACAGGGAGGAAAATATGCAACAATGAATGAATGAATGTAAATCTGAGTTCCTTATAAATTCATTAAAATCTAAAAAAATAAAAGAGAGAGAAAAAGAAAGAACCTAATAAAGAAAACTAGACAATTCTCACAAACTCTGCTTGACAAATTGTATTCCCTATGCTTTCAATAAGTCACTCTGGTGATTTAGTCTGTAAGATGTTGCACTGCTAATTGGAAGGGTACCCCTCTTTGGTGATTTGAACGCACCATTGACTGGGAGGGAAAGAGAGAGGCAATCTATTCCCTTGTGATTTACAGCATCAGGAAACCTGCTGGAGGATCAGTTATGAGTTGGTTGCAACTCAATAGTGATGAGAAAAAGATGCCCGCATTATGTAGTCAAAGTATTTTTCATCTCCTAAAGAATTAATAAACACCATTAAAAATTCTAATGTAGTATGATGTCATTTCCACTTTTCATGTATTTTGTAATTGTCACATCAGCATACACTTCTGTTCAATTTGCCAGAGGAAACTGTTGATATATTTCTGTGGTTGTCATTATTCTTATAAAATTTTTGTACCTCATAGTATTTATTATTTCCAAAAGGAAAAATCATTAGTTGGCATCATTAGCGTATTTTTTTGTATATAGAGATTTCAGCAACAATAGATTTTTTAAGATAAGCTAGATGTGTCCAGAGACTTCCTCTTTTTATCTCCTTCAGAGGTTGCTACAGATTTCATTTAATTCATTTGCTTTACAGCACAGAAAGACCAAAAGTATTTTTGCAGTAAAAAGAACCTGTCAGACACTATGTCTGTTAAATGACAAATGTTTAAGGTCAAAACTGAGCAATACTGGTTTTCTTTTCGTTTACTTTTGAGTTCCCTGTAAGTCTTAATTTCTTTATTTTGGTGTTATGTTAAACTGAATAGAAAGAGGTGTTTTCCTTTGTTTTATAACATATATTACTCTGTACAGTACGTTTGTGAAAAGGTTGAACTAGAAAGATGAACATTTGTTTGCAAACCAAAAAAAAAAAAGTCTAATGCAGTATGATAATAAATGTGTTCGTTCTCTCTGAGTTAATCCATTTGAAAATGGATTTGCTTCTTTGAAGAAATAAAGTAAAAACTGGAAAATCATTTCATTCTTTTTTTCCTGTTAACTAGATAGTGGCTGTTATAATTTAGTCAATTTCGATGCAAGTTTACACGATAGTGTTAGAGGAAGAAGCCCCCGGGGTTGTGGTGCTAACCTACAATCCAAGCCTTTCTGGAGGTTGGACTCCACCAGTCACCTCTCAGAAGAAAGATCAGCAGTCTCCTCTCATGTGATTTGGAGCCTCAGAAATCTCAAAGGAGGGAATTAAATGAATTGGTTCCAACTAGCCACCATTGAGTTTTATTAAATAGGACAGAAAGAATGGCTTGACAAGGCAGTGTTGTTAATTACCCCCCAGGCTGTACTTTTTAAGGAAGCAGATTGGCACATATTTTCTTTCTAGAATAGGTTTGAGCTCCTGCAGTTAGTAGCCAAGAGTTTAAGCACTTGGCTTAGACATCAAAGCTCCCATTTTTGTCTGGAAAATCAACTCAACTTACTCAATTCCTTGTCCGAACTGACTCCTAGGTGACCATCCATTGAGTCGTTAGAGGTTGGAAATCGCATGGTAAGAGATTGCCCATCTTTCTCCAGAGAGTAGGACAACCAGAGAGCTTTGCACCTGTCAGATTACTTTGTACCAGTTTGAACTTTTTACTTATTACCGCCAGAGGGCAGAGCATGCTAACTATTGAATTCACGGAGACTACACTCACAAAGCTCAAGTTGGCCCTCATGCAATCACAAGAGGCAAATTTAGGCTCTTAGGAAAAATTCTCTCAGGGTTCTTTACAGATCCTTTAGGGAAAGAGCTATTGAATTGTTCACTGTAGAATTTTCACACAGTTATAAATAACCAGGCAATTACAATTTCAATCTATAACAGGCTTTTAAAAATGTAGTTTTTCATGACCTGTTGATTTATTATTTTTAAAATTTTCATAAACATGATTTTCTTGCAAAACTTCAATCATAAATTTACCCCAAGGTAATGGAAAAGAATAGTTTTCATGTGTGTCCATATTAAAGATCAATTTCTTTACAGTGATTTTAATTTATATCTCATGAATCACCTTGAGAAACAACAATCCATGTTCACTGTGGAGACTTAAGCAAAAAAGGATAAAGAATATAATTTATTATATTTTTGAGACTCAAACAGTACTTAAACTTACTAGGCACTCAGTATTCGTTTATAAGTACATGTATTTCCATATTTATTCTGGAATCTGTTCATTCCTTTAATGCTAATAATGAAAATTGCAAAAAAGTATGCCCTTTTTTTAAAATCTCCTTCACATTTCTTTACAGTGTCCAAGCAAGACTTATGATCCACTGATTAAGTCCACTCGAGATTTTCCAGATGATGTTATTAGTTTCATAAAGCGGCACCCTGTGATGTATAAATCAGTGTACCCCGTCGCGGGAGGACCAACATTCAAGCGAATCAACGTGGACTACAGACTGACGCAAATAGTGGTGGATCACGTGATCGCAGAAGATGGCCAGTATGATGTCATGTTTCTTGGAACAGGTACAAGCACACCGTATTCTAATTTAGACCTTTCAAAGTACAACTTTTACATCAACAAAGCAAGCAAATCTTTAGACATATTAATTGATCAAAACAAAAATGAATGAATATTCATGCATACTTAGATTTCTGAAAAGTATTTACTCTCTTATTTGCTAGTCATAAATCCCCCAGCCTCCTTTCATGTCATTTAAGAATTGGAAATACAGTTATATGTGAGGAATAAAATGTGTTTTCCATAGATTGAGTACCTGTAGCATATTTGCTTGTTACCATAGGCTAAAATTAAACAAGTTAGGCCTTGTTTATTTTCAAATTTCACATTTTCCTCTTCTTAGAGATATTTGATAAGCCCTACCCCAAGAAATATTTTCACGCAGTTTTGCGAATCTCATAGTTCACTTCAAAGAACTCTTAGAAAAAAGTTCATTCCAACATTCTGATGATTTGAGAGAGTCAAATTATCTCATTTAAGGAAGCAGATTGGCACATCTTTTGTGCCAGTTGGGGCTGATTTTGGAAAAAATTTCTAGATGGGAATTTCTTGGGTATTATTTCCCCCTGTTCTTCAGTTTCATGGATTTGATTCATAATCTGATTTGCTTTCCTTTCTTTGTACTTATTTTTTAATAACAAATAGAAATTAATGAATATTTAATTGGCTGCCATTTTTATAGAAATATAATTATAAGAGTTATAAATCACTTTTAAAGTAATATTTTTAAAGGATGTTGGTTCCATGAACATTAGGTTCATTAGAAAGGATTTGTTTGATAAACTCCAAGGGCCTTAACGAGCACTAATGGTCAACCAATATGATACACTTTAGTTAGTAGGCCCAAGGAAGGAAATGATGTTCCCAAAGGTACAGAGATGGCCCCTGAAAGGCATGTATATGAACTCATTATCTTCTCACTAATTCCTGTGTATTTGCCACATTGCTCACCCAAACTCATTCCTACGTTTAAACACTAGTTTAGTGCTATAAATTCTGGTCAGCCACTAGGTGGTACTACTTAACTTTTACTGATAAAAATATAGCAATAAAAATTTTTTAATATTGACATTTGGAAAATATATGTTTAGTGTTTTTAAAATAACTGAGGTTATTAAAAACAAATAATCTAGACTGTCTTATGCAAACAAGATCATTATCACATATGTTAATATACTCTAATACCAGTGTTCACAAATTTAAAACCTCTCTTTCTATTATAAAGAATTTATGAGTGAAATTTTTTTTCTGAAATGTTATATTGGTTTTCTTTCTGAAATTGACTGTAGCTTTATGGAACTGCAGTTTAAGATGCAGTATTTATTTCTAAATATCAATTTTTGCATTTACATTCTCATCCTTGTTTGCTTTTATGTTGAAATAAAATAGTTTTAAACAAAATTTTAGATCCTAGGCCAATATTTTTTCCTATAAGTACATTTGATAAATGAGTTCAGGTTTGTCTAAGTAGAGATCACAGAGTTTTCTTCTATTTGTTATATTCTCTCAAACTTAAGACTCATTGTCCTTAAGTAAGGACTTCCACAGAGCTGATCGACCCACCATTGGATTTCTAAAGCAGGAGAGTGCCCGTGGTTCTTCTGGGAAGCCACTGGTGGATTTGAACAACCGCAGAGATGGAGAGATGTGGCTTTTGGGTTTGCAGTACAACTCTCTATGGTCTAGATCACCATAGCTCTCTTGTTAAGTGTTGGAAAAAACATTACCAGAAATTACATGTATCATTATTTTCTGTGGTGAATTGAATATAATGAATAATGAAGAAATATTTCTTAGATTAAGTAATGCCAATTTATACATTTATATTTATCTGTATCTAAAAAGAATTGTGTACCTTAATAAACTAATACATAACAACAATACTTTAAAGTCCAGAAATTTTGTTTCCCTTTTTTTATCCTGTCAGCTAATATTAAAACATTGTTGTTGTATGCCATTGAATCAGAACCACTCATAATTGACATTCAGTGGGTTTTAAGAGTCAGTAAATCACACAGGAGGAGTTTACCTGTCCTCCTCCTGCTGTGGAACTAGCATATTTGAACCATGTGCCTTTGGGATTGTGGCAGAGCTTCTTACCACTTACTTCTTTGCCTCCAGAGTTCTCATATTAAAATAGAAGGTTAGAATGTATACTCACAGGCTATAATTAAACACCTAGGTATAAAATAATATTGGAATGTATATCCACAGAGTATATTCCTAGAAATAGGTATACTCTGTGCATACCCATTCTAGCAGTCTTATAAACAGTAATATAGCATCACATTGAAGAAACACTAATCAACAACCTACATTATTCAGATGACACAACCTTGCTTGTTGAAACTGAGGAGGATCTGAGACATTTACTGCTAAAGCTCAAGGACTGCCCCCATCAATATGGATTGAAGCTGAACACCAAGAAAACAAAGATTCTCACCACTGATCAATTGGCAACATGATAGATGGAGAAGAGGTTGAGATTATTAATAGCTTCAGCTTGCTTGGCTCCACAAAAAACTCTTAGTACCAGAAGCCAAGAAATTGAAAAAAAAAAAAAAAAATTAATTGCATTGGGAAAACCTGCTGTCAGGAACCTCTCCAGATTTCTGGGATCAACAACGTCAGTCTAGAGACTAAGATGTGCCTAATCCAAGCCATGGTCTTTGCAGTTACTTACTATACATCAGAGAGCTGGACAGTGATTAAAGATGACAGAAGAATTGATGCCTTTAAGTTGTGATACTGGAGAAGAATATTGAACATACCATGGACTGTTAAAAAACTAACAGATCTGTCCTGGTGACACCAGGCTGCTCCTTGGAGGCAAGGATTTTGAAGCTCCATCTCACATACTTTGGGCATATTGCCAGGATGGACCAGTCCTTGGAGAAGGACATCATGCTTGGAAGAGTGGAGGGACAGTGCAAGAGAGGAAGACACTGGATCAAATGAATTGACCCAGTGACTGATAGGGGTAGATGTGTTGGAGACAATGAAATTGGATCAAGATAGAACAGAGTTCAGAGCTGTTGTACATAATAAGGTCACTATGAGTCACAAGTAACTTGATGGCACATAACAACATGTTTTTTAAGAAGGAAAAAAGATCAAATACATTGTTATGTGCTCTAGAGTCAACTACAACTCATAGCAACCAGATGCGCAATCGCTCTGAACCCTGCCCTGTCTGAGGCAATCTCACTCTCTTCAGCACACCTACCCCCATTACCCCAATTACTGTGTCCATCCATCTTCTCCAGAGTATTCCTGTTATATTTTATCTGATTTCTTGAAAGTATTTTTTTAAAAAGCAAAGAGATATGTCATTATTAGAAATATATTTAATATTAAACACTGAGGTGGAAACAGCACATTTATGCCTTTTTGGGTTGTTCCCCCCCCCCAGATGTTGGAACAGTCTTGAAAGTTGTCAGCATTTCAAAAGAGAAGTGGAGTATGGAAGAGGTAGTGTTGGAGGAGTTGCAGATATTCAAGGTGAGATGTAGTCCAGAGGTCTGGGATAAGAGGTGGACATATTTAATACCTTATCAGATTTACTGCAGAATTTGGGGGTGGGGGGAATCCCAGCTACTTTATTTTTCTTCTTCTTCTCAAGCAATTTGGAGAGGGGAAGAGTTATAAAAACAACTAAGAGTGGGACCTGCCTTCTTCTATATTGTTGCTTTGATTGAATACTGTTGAATCAGAACCGATCCGTAATAGCTGATGCACCAGTGTGTTTTCACAGCAGTAAACTAAGTGAGAAGAGATTACCCATGTTTCTCCGAAGGAGAAGCAAGTGGATTCGAACTGCCTATCTTTGCACAGGCAGTGCAATTCCTTACCACTAAGCCACAAGAGCTTCTTTTCTTCTATATTATTGCTGTTATTGTCATGTGTCATCATGTAGTGACCCTATGCACAATAGCTCTGAACCCTGCTCTATCCTGAGCCAGTCTCACTGCCTCTGACACACCTCCCCTCACTTCCCCAGAGAGGTACTCTTATACATGAGGTGCTCTGCATTGAACTTGGAGCTCCTTGAATTGCTCCTCATTCCTGCATTCTCTAAGCATATCGTCAGACAAAGTGCCATGTTAGATGAAAATCTCAAATCCCTTTTACTATCCAGATGCTTTTCTTCTTTATAAATTGTACTTCTCAATATTTCTCCAATTAAGTTTGAGAAAACAGAAAGGGTTTAAGTAATATATCCCTGTCTTTCACTAAGGATTTTTTTTAAAGTTGCATAATAATAAATCTTCATGTATTATTAGGTACTCCAACTCTCCAAACAGGTAGCCAAAAACTAGAAATTTCAGTTTATAGATTCTACCAATTTATTTCACTTTTGAATCATTGCATTCTTTGTAAAGGAGATACACATTAAAATTACATTATGAGAATGAGAAATAAAATTATATTTCTTAAGAAGAGCTCTTAAAAATATGCTGCATCTTATATAGAGTTGTTGTTGAGACAGCTTACATTAAGAATGACTGTTTCCATTTAAACTTCTGTTGCCTTAAAGGGAAGTCCAGCCTTCCACTGTCAGGAGCTGAAGTGGAATGACTTGCTGGTTCCACAAGATCCTGTTTACATTGTGATGATAATAGCGGTCAAGGAGTTAACAAGAACAAGACCTGATATCTGGCATCTAGTAAAAAACAGAATTTTGTGTGTCTCCTAAGGGAATGTCTGATGTCAAGTATAAATGTGAACCCAGAGGCCAAAAATAAAGCCTGCATAACCCTGAAAGGCAAACTAGAAGAATCTCATTCAATGCTTTTTAGACAGAGGTCAAGAGGAATTGTTTGGATTCCACAGTTAAGATTCAATAGTGGCCATGCTTTCTCAATTTGTAACAACAAAAAGTTATCCATAGCACTTCCATACATAAAATTTCTATTTCATGTCTTTTTCTTAAACTTTACCATCTGCTACTATATGTTCATTAGGAAATACTAGTGTGAAGTGAAAAATTAGCCAACAATAGATGAACTGACAGATATGAAAATTCTTTTTAAAAATGCTTTCTATTCTTTTGAAAGCTCTTCTGTTATTATTTCTGACTTTATATTGCAATCATAGAACCATCTTTTCTACAGATATAATTGGCCTCATTCGTGTTCTGAAATCATATGGTTCAGATTCTCGTTTTGTCTTAAACAACATGGTTTTTCACAAGGAGCACTAGAATTTTTCAAAACTTTCCTACTTGAGCAAATTTTTGAGACGTTGATTTAAGTAATAGCAGAAAGGGGTAATAGAGAGATGTTCTTGTCGACACTCTTAAATTATGTGGAGGCTGCTAAGCAGATTTCGGAAGAGAAAACTTATGGGCAAGGAAGAAAACTTTTCATGGTGATATCTCTCATATTAATTAGCTAAATTTTCTTAAATAGGATACTTTACCTAATTTGAGTTTTTCTATTAAAGTGGATCATCATAAAGTATACAACACAAAGATTCCCCACCTCTAGCACCTGGAAATTTTCTTCAAAAATCTATTGTGCAAGATAAAAATCACCTATTGCTTAATATAAAAAAATATGGCTAATGATTATCGTTGTTTACATTTACTTCTATTTTCAGCACTCAACAATCATCTTGAACATGGAGTTGTCTCTGAAGCAGGTAATTTCTCATTTTTTGCTTAACATTAATCACAGAAGTAAGTTAATTTTAAGGAAAATCTATTGAAATTAGAAGTTAGATAATAAATTCTGTAAGAAGCTTTATATTTCTTGTTGTATTTTTATAGGTTAGAGACCATTTTTTAGATTTATTTTAGGAGATATGGAGCCAAATTTAATTAATTGAGCAACTAATTTTTTCTGATTCTCTTAATTTTTGAAAATACTTTCACTGTCCTAGTTTTGTGAGAATTTTTTCCCAATAAAGCTTTAAAATATTTATGTGAAATATCCTCCCTAGCTATCACATTTTTTAAAAAGGAAATCTGATTCTAGATGTTACAATATGGACTGAGAAGGCAAGCAGCCCTGGAGTTAACTTCAAGTGCCATCTCTTAATATATGATTACCAGAATTCAATTTCCTTAACAGTAAAATTAGAAAAATAATTACTGCCTCTTCAGGTAGTTGAGAGTTTAAATGGAATGCCATAGGCCAAATTCTAAGCAGAGAATTGGCATATTCTAAATGTTAAGCAAATTATAACTAATTATAATAATGATAATAATAATTAATATTATTTCACATCATCTGGTATAATAGTGGAAATCTAAGTCAGTTAAAGAGATTCAGAATTGCATAACTATTTCTGTATGCCCTGCCAAGATTTAAGGTTATGTGACATATTCATGTTAAGAGGTTACTTAAAACTGTCTTAATCTAAAAAAAAAAAAAAAAAACTGTCTTAATCTTTGCCTCCTATGACAAAATGATTATTAGTGAAAAGATCTAAATAGGTCATTCTTTGCAGCCTTTTTCTAGATCCCAAATTGAATGAAACTTGTGATCAGCCCACACACCATTAAACATATATTTGTACATCTGCCTTTTTTGTTATTTAGCTAGGTAATCCTGCACTAGTTTTCAGTTTTTCTTCATTTGTTCATTCTTTCAGTGTTTACTTCTTGAAAGCCTTCTGTTGTGCTTGATGGGAACAGAAATGAATGAATGATATGGCACTTAGCCTCTCCAAGATAATTGTAAACACAGGAGACAAAAGAGCAGGCTAGTGAAACAAAGTAATAATGGCTGATTGTATAACAATGAAGAAAATAGGAGAGAATAACTTGTCTAAAATGAATTGCAGGTCTGGACAAGTAGGGGAAGCTAGTTGAAATAGGAAGCCTTAACCATAAAAGACATAGCAAACTTTTAAAACTGAATATGGAGGAGAGAACATTTATAGATATGTGAAGAGTTGTGGAACATAGCTATTCTTAAAATTGGTGTTCAGGTACTGTGTTGAAGAAGAATAGAAAGGAGTCTAGAGAAGTTGTTAAAGCAAAATTATGCATAGTCTTAGTTTCCTCTGAAGAAGTTTAAATGGTAACTAAAGGACAATTGAAATTGTTAAAGACTTTAAGCAATAGAATGTTAAGATTTCCTTTTTAGAAAATCAATCTGGTAACAGTGCAGAAGATGGATTAGGTCCTGGAGAAGTTGGAGAGGGTAGTGAGAATAGTTACTGGCAAACAAGGCAGGGAAAATAGAACACTTACAAGTGATCTGGGCAAGAGGTGATAAGGACCTAAACTAAGACAGTGACAATGGGCAGGGAGAGGAGGAAACAGATTAGAGAGTTTTATAAGAGAGAGAAGGGAAAAGGCATGATGACAGATTGAATGTGGAAAAAAAAAGGATTAAAAGGTGATTCCCACACTTCAGTCTTGGATAGTAGAGAGGTTACGTCTGCTTCTCACAGAGATAGGGAAGGAGGAGTAGGGCTCAAGAAAACAATGTTCTCAAATTTGGCCATGTTGTTTCCCAAGTACTTCTGAGACATTGTGCAATAACAGATGTAAAGAAAAGAGAATATAAACAGAAAAACTCAAAATTTTACTCAAAGAGCAATTATCAAAAGACTAGATGCTTCAAGCAGGGATAAAAACAAAGGAAAAGTAGAGTTTCAGGAATGGTGTCTCAAACTTTGTCTAAAATAGAGTAAGTATTAAAAGTTGTTCATTGCATTTACTAAGGAAGTATTGAGAGTTTTAAGGAAAATAGAGGTTTAAGTCAGATTTCTTCTGTTAGTTATGCCAATATCTATTTTAATATTCTTTCTCCATTTAAATATATGCTTTGTGTATTACACTTAGTGTTGAGCTTTTAAAAGGCATAGACTATGAGTTGTTTACCTGTATTTTCTACCCAAACACACTCATTCAAATAAACACATATGTAGACTAGTGCATCAATTTCAGGACTTCATTTCCAAACATTTGACTTGCTGGATATCTTGATATTCTATAGTTTCACTTGAGCTATGATGTGTTTCAAACCTCCTAGATACTTTCTTCATGGTGATACAAAAATCATACTTTCCCAATTCCCATTCCCCTTCAGGCATCAGAACTTCATTACCAATCAAATAAAATGGCCATTTAAAACCACAGTCATCTCTTACATAGAAAGTCATGGAGCATAATGACCATTACTTTTGTCTATAGCATCTGCGCTTGATATATAGTCTACGAAAGTATATTTTCAACTACTGGGAAAAAATTTGACATCTTAATTCCTCATAGCAGCAGCTGGTTTCTGACCTTCTTAAGTTACTGCCAAGGCTACTCTAGCTCTGTATCCATTTCAGTATCATCATCTTCAAACTACTGTTCTGCCAGGGGTAGAAGTGAATGACTATTTTGCTCTTTGTTAGGTTTCTGTACTAGTATTTACAATGGTCAGGACACCTGGTGAGACAGATTTAGACCTATGTTGTGGTATTAAAAAAAAGGGGAGTTCTTTAGACTTTTCTGAAAGATGCTTCTAATTCATTTGTTTTGCTGGTTTCACAGCAACAATTGTACATTGGTTCCCGAGATGGATTGGTCCAACTCTCCTTGCACAGATGTGACACTTATGGGAAAGCTTGTGCAGACTGCTGTCTTGCCAGAGACCCCTACTGCGCCTGGGATGGAAATGCATGCTCTCGCTATGCACCCACTTCCAAAAGGTAATAAGAACATCACATTATTAGGAAACCTTCCTTTCTGCATCACGAACATCTCTGACGAATGCCTTGATTTACAGTGTAAAGTACAGAGTAAATAAATTGAAAATATGATCTACTATAGAAAATAAATAGACTTGTCCTGAAGAGGGTGAAACCAAGCCCCTTCTTGTAGGCAAAAATTTTGAGATTCCTTCTAAAATACTTTGGACATATAGCCAGGAGGGACCAATTCCTTGAAGGGATTGCTCTATCATGCTTGGAAGGGTGGAGGGACAGCACAGGCAAGGAAGAACCCAGATGAAATGGATGGAAACAATAACTGGGGGAATGAGGGCAGGTGTGTCAGAGACAGTGAGATTGGCTCAGAACTGAGCAGGGTTCAGAGCTGTTGTGCATAGGGTTGCTATGAATCATAATTGATTCAATGACACATAACAATAACAACAATGTAGGAATATTAAACTGTTATTTTATATCCTTACATAAAAGTTCATTTTAATATGATTGAATATTATGTATGACATTCTGAAATCTAGAAATTAAAAGAATCAAATTTTTATTTATGTAAACACAACTAAATTTTTTTTCTTTACCATATTCTCTTTATATATACATTCCTTCTTTCATTATTTCTAAATATGGATATTTCATATTTGCTGTTTTATATATTTTCTACATATCTACTGTTTTACTTATTTCACATAAGTATTTGTGTGTGTAAAAATATTCTATATACAACAGCCTATCTCAGTGATTCCGAATATAATTGTCTTTTCATTAATAACTCTTGCTTGAGTTACCAACCATTCAGATAACTTAAACCATAACAAACTATTGCCCTACTATTTTTAGTTCATGGCTATATATGCCTTTGAAAATGCTACTCTTGGACCTGAAATTTCCATCCAAGAATTCTTTAACATAGACATTTGTAAGAATAACACTATTGTTTTCCCTTCTTGTTTTTAATACCATTTTTTAAATTAAATTTTATTAATTTTAATGAACATTTACAGAGATTTTGGGTTTCCACTCATTCATTGTTAGAATAACACTATTTTTTTAATGCACTGTTTGTCATAGCAAAAGAACTGGAAATAACCTGACTATCTACCAGTATCACCGATACTGGCTAAATAGATTATGATATAACTGAAAAACTCATTGCAGTCAACTTTGAAGAAGTTCCTAGTTGACCCTTCAGTGAGTTTTTGGGGGACTGTAAATCACACAAGAAGAGACTGCATATCCTTCACCTGCAGAGCTGCATGGACTTGAATTGCCAGGGAGATTCCATCTTTGGATTAGCAGTGCGATTTCCGAGGGTCGATGGCACCAGAGCTCTTTTGATATATGTTACTTAACAAATTTGGATGGCGATACAAACATTTTTTGAAAAATCATTCACATTTTTCTTCCAAAAATTGTCAACAAATTTTGAATGATACTACCATTTTTTAAAAAAATCTTTAAGACTATTTTAGCAAAATAAGGAAAGAAAACATTAATCTAACTACCATACATCCACTACTTTTTCAGTTTAAAATTTAACTAATTTATCACATTTCAAAGTCTAAGGATCACAGATTGAGCATATGTAAGAAATACATAACTATTTAAGAAATACTTAAGTATGCTTATGATTAGATATTTTCTGTTTTTTAACTTGTCTGTACTAAGTGTAAATTAACAGGTACTATAATTTTCAGTTGAAAGCAAAACTGTTACCAGCATTTGGTTATATTGTTGCCCAAGAATCAACTACATTTGGAGAAGGCTTTAGTAGAAATTAAAAACAAACAAACCAACCTAAGAATTTTCATTAGTTGTTAATAAACCATCAGTTTGGTGAATTCATTTTCTTCCTTATGAAGTCAAAAGTTAAAAACATTATTGACTTTATGTCGTTGTTGTTGTTGTTGTATTTAATAGCATAAAGTTGGAACTGACCTGTAGCTGACCCTCCAGCAGGTGTTCAGAGGCAGTTAATTGCAGGGCGGAGATTGTCCATCCTTTACTGGCAGAGCAGTTGGTGGATTTGAACCACATGACTTCAGGATTGCAGTGCAGTTTTTTACCACTAGCCACCAGATCATTATTTTCCCTCTTGTATTTCCCAACACTGACTTTTCTTGCAAGCAGGCTACTGTGACATTTTGTCTTACCTAAAGCAATGAGCATTTGAGCTAAGGAATGTGCAAGCTGGATCAATCTTGTACAAGAATGGCATCCGGTCAGCATTACCCCTTAAGGAGCAAGCTTGCAGATGGCTTACTGTGACCTCTGAAAGAGCAAAATAAAACAGCAAAGTCTGTCAGGGTAAAAGATTTTTTAAACTAGAGTTTTGGGTTATTTCCTTTATACAGTAGTTTCTCTTTGTAGGAAAATATATGCTAATGATTTATAAAGTTATTATTCATTGTTATTATCACTGTACTGTGTGCAAAAAACAATTATGTGTGTATATCAGCAGATGACGTGTGGTCGTTTGTGCTATATCTAGCTTGTAGTTCTATTTGAAAAGATAATATTTAATCTGTTGCCTAATCAAATTTGTGTAACAATGAATGTTTATAAAAGGTGTTTTGTATGTTGTATATGCTTTCCATTTTTTGCTTAACAATGCAACACACTAAAAACTATACTACCAGAATTCCTCATTCCTTCCTACCTCCTAAATTCCTGTATGTCTTATTACTTTCTATTGACTGAAAATGAAAGAAGGGCTTATTTTCCTAACTTGATGTATTTTATTCATTGACACTTGAGTTAGAACCAACTTATAGCTGACTCTCCAGGGGAGTTTTCTGAGGACGTAAATCACACAGGCAGGATTGTCCACCTTTCTTCCACATAGCATCTGGTAGCCATCAGAGAAGTGCTACCTTTGGGTTGGCAGAATAACCCCTGGCAGACTACACTATCAGATTCAAGACTTTATATTACTATTGAACTTTTCCTTTCAATAATGTAAGGTTGTGTTGTTACATGCCATCAAATCACCTGCGACTCATAGCCATCCTATGTACAACAGCCCTAAACCCTGCTCTATCCCTTGCCAATCTTATTGTCTCTGACACACCTATCCCCATTATCCCAGCAATTGAATCAATCCATCTCATTGAGGATCTTCCTCTCCTGTACTGTCCTTCCACCCTCGCAAGCATGACATCCAGCTCCAAGGACTGATCCTGCCTTGCAACATGTCCAAAATATGTAAGACGAAACTTCAGAATCCTTGCCTTCAAGGAGCAGCCTGGCTTCACCCTCTCCAGGACAAACTTGTTTGTTTTCCTAGCAGTCCATGATATATTCAATAATCTCCTCCAGCACCACAGCTCAAAGGCATCAATTCTCCTTCTGTCCTCCCTAGTCATTGTCCAGCTCTTTGATACATAGCATGTAATTGCAGCAAAGACCATGGCCTGTATCAGGTGCACCTTAGTCTCCAGACTGACACAGTTTCTCTTCAGTACTTTGGAGAGGTCTCTGACAGCAGATTTTCCCAATGCAATTGATCTTTTAATTTTATCTCTCCTGGCACCAAGAGTGTTGATAATAGAGCCAAGCAAACTGAAGCTATGAACAATTTCAATCTCTTTGTTATTTATCATGATGCTGTCAATCAGCTCAGTGTTGAGAATCTTTGTTTTCTTGATAGAGCTTCAATCCATACTAAAGGCTGCAGTCAGTCCTTGACCTTCTACCATAAGTGCTTCAGGTCCTCCTCAGTTTCAGCAAGCAGGGTTTTGTCATGTGCATAGCGCAGATTGTTGATGAGTCTACCTCCAGTCCTGATGCCACATTCCACCTCATACAGCCCAGGCTCTTGGATAATCTGTTCTGCATATAGATTGAAAAGATATGGAAATAGAACGCATCCCTGATGCACCCCTTCCCAGTTTTGAACCATGCAATGTTTCCTCTCTCTGTTCTGATGACTTCCTGCTGATCCAAGTACAGGTTTCACATTAGCATGATCAAGGGTTCTGGAATTCCCATTCTTCTCAGAGTCAGCTACAGTTTGTTGTAATCATGTCAAATGCCTTTGCACAGTCAATGAAACACAAATAGACATTTGTAATTTCTTTTTTTTTAAATAAACAGTTCATCTTTTTGATGAAATCTAATTTGCTCCTATAGGACCCTGATATGTTGAATTGATGGTGAATTGTCTTGGAATGGAGACCTGTTTTTATGCTGATGAGTAAAGCAAGCATAGCTTTGTGTCTATCACTATTATTATTAGTGTTATAGATACTTTTATTTGAATATTATTATAATGTGTTACATACTCAAATATTATGTTCTAAGTTCTCAAAAGTTTAATCCATTTCTGTAGGCGAGCTAGACGCCAAGATGTGAAAAATGGAGACCCAATCACCCAGTGCTGGGACATTGAAGAGAGTGAGTATAGGTTTATTGTACTTTCCTCTCTTTATAACACTTAAGTCAGTTTTTTGTATGTCTCATTATATGGCTTTTCTATGTGGAAAAATAGACTCATACTATTATACATAAAGAGCTCATTTTCTATAATGCTTATATTCTAGAAAGGCAGCAAGGGATTTTATAAATCAGCTCCATGTCTATGTGCCTAAGTGAATGATCCTTTGTTATATCATTATTTGTTTCATATGTCTTTTAAAGTCTTGTACTTTGACTTTTTTTTTATTAAACTGCAGAATCCATCCTTATAAAGTTAAAAGTCTGTTGTTAGAGATAGTGCAGGAGAGAGCCTAAAACTTTCCAGGAAGATCTGATAGAAATGTTGATCCTTATTAAAAAGCAACCTGTACTTTATTTATTTCATTCATCTATAAATATTTATTAAGTGACTTCCATATGCCTGTGATTGTCTTGAGTATACTTAGAAACAAAGAAACTTTTTTGGAGAACTTGTAGTTTCTTTGGGGAGATGTCATAAGATACCATTAGTGATAGGAGATTTTAGAGAAAAAATCTTGACACTATCATTCAGAGAAAATGTCATGGTATTAATAGTCTAAAAGTCCAAGTAGGAGAGAGGCAGTTGGTAAATAGAGAAGAGGCCAGGGAGTGAGTCTGATAACAGAAGAGTAAAGAACATCTACATATGTGTAGTGTTGTTTTTTTCCCCAAGGCTATAATTACTTTCAATAATGAAGTTCTGTCTCAGATAGAAAATTGTTGTTGTTGCTGTTTGCCACTGAGTCAAGCATGACGCGTAGTGACCCTATAAAAAAATCCCTGAAGCCTTGAAGCCTTTCTATAACTATCGTTGTTTCTTCAAGAATTTCCAGAGGCATGTGGTGTAGGAACTGGATGCCACTTCTCCTTCCAAACTCGTCTTAAACTGGGAGTTCCACCAAACACTGTCCACCATGCACAACCATTATGCCATTTGAGGCCCCAGTGGTACAAGGTTCAGTATCAAAACAAACCCAGATTACCTCAGTACAGCAAATTGACAGAAAAGTGCTGTATCACTTAGAAAAATGTTCCTCCAAAATATAATAACAAAAGAGTAAGATATAATCTCTTGGGCCCTTAGCAGAATGTTCATTTCAAACACAATTTACACCAGTCCCAAGGGCCTGTGGTCCTGGACCCAAATGAACTTTAAAAACACCTGGCCTGTGCACAAGGCTCTCACTGTGGCTCTAACAAGAGGCTACTGGCCTCTGCCTACAGCTCTTTGCTAACCAAATCCATACAATCCAGTCAGCTCACACAGGGTTGTGAGCAAAATAAAACCAACCAAACAGTCCACAGCCAACCTTCTTCCAAGACAAAAACTCACCTTTCCCCCACCCCCCCTTTCTGCAATACCAAGAATTCACCTTTTTAAAGCCTAGCTAGGGCTACACTCATATGCCCTCCCAGATAGAAAACACACAAGCACAAACACATATGTAAATGCATACAACTAAGGAAAATAAAACACTACCTGTCATAGTTACAATATATTTCATCATAGGAACCTTCCTCTTCAACTCTTTCTTTGATTTTTTTAATTCTTTATTTTGTATATGTTTTCATGCAAAATCTACATACGTTACATAACATTCATGTGCATTGTCTTTTACAAAGTCCTTCATTCACATTTGTTTCATAGAATAACTTACATACATTGCGTTTTATAAAATTAATCACCATTGATCTATATCTATTATTACCCTGTATTTTCAGGTCCCCATCAGCTCTTTCTTACTCCTTTATCTCCCTGTCTTCCCACTAAACTCTGCTATCCTAGATTTACACCTTTTCTCCTTCATCTTTCCTGTTTGAACTTTTACACACATCTTACTAGTTATCTTTTTATTTTTACAATAATATTCTTAGGCAGTGTTTGTCCTTATGAGACTGAGGTAGTTGAATCAGCACAATGCTCTCTATATTCTCCCATGTTCTATAGTATTTTATGAAATCATTGCTCCTTAGTGTTGTATAGTATTCCATTGTGTGAATGCACCACAATTGTCGATCCATTCATTTTTTAATGAACACTTTGTTTCCATTTTCTTGCTAGAGTGACATAGGTGTGTTATGCCCAAATCCAGTTCCCCCCAAGTCACCAAGGAGCCGACACCGATGCAAGGGCAAGAGGGAATTTATTTCAGATTCGAATCCGGGCCACGTTCCAAACCGTGCCCATACAACAGGGAAGATGGCCGCGGCCCCGATTCTGGGCTGTCCTGCCTATTTAAAGGGGAAAGCCCGCGAAAACAGGGTGATACGGGATTGGCTGGTTCAAAGGAAAGCCCGCGAAAACAGGGTGATACAGGATTGGCTGATGTTTGGGTGGGGACTCTTTTCTCTCTTTCCCCACAGCTTTCAGTTTACTGCTCTAGAGGCACATATATATTTTAAAATGACATATTGGTTACAAAATGGAGTCCCTCAGGTGCACACATCTCCATTCATGTTTCAGTTTTATTTTCCATCATGTTTATTTCTAGTAGTGGAATATCTGAGTCATATAGGATGTCTAAGTTTAGCTTTTTGAGGAAATGCCAAACTGCCTTGAAGAAGGATTGTTCCAATATATAAGCCCATCAGCAGTGCATGAGCATTCCAATCTCTCCAAATCCTTTGAAACATTGCTTATTGTCCTGTTAAACTCTCCGATGCTGCTGGGGTGAGATGACATCCATTGTTTTGATTCGCATCTTTCTGATTGTCAGTGATTTTGAGTGTTTTCTCATGTGTCTGTTGGTCATCAAAATGTCTTCCTTTGTGAAAAGTCTTTCCATGTGTTTTTCCCATTCTGTAATTGAGTTATCAGTCTTTTTCTTGTGGAAGTCCTGTAGTATTCTTGAATTTTTGTTATGAGACCCTTGTCTGAGATGTAATTGCCAAATATTTTTTCACCTAGTCTATAGGTTTTGTTTTCATTCTATTAGAAATAGTTTTAGATGAAGGTCCATTTGTCAATTTTATCCTCTCTGGGTTGTACATTTCTTCAACTCTTGATGTAAATAAGCAACCAAGTCATCATAGCCTGTAACTGGTGATCTTGCTGTGTTTTCTTAATTAAGACAAAACAAAATAATTATTTTTAAATTATAACCTTCATTCTTCTGAGACACATACTCTGATCCAAAATAATTTGTTTGACCTTTTTTCCTCATGTATAACTAACTCACAGTCTTGTCCATTATTCTGTTCAGCACTCCGCTATGTGCATATGAGAGTCAACAGGGACTGTTGTAGGTTAAAGAGTACACTGGTAAACAAAAATGAAAACAGTCCCTGTACTCTGCAGATTTATAATCAACTGTGTGTTAGTGCTGGAGGCAGGCAGTAAACATAAAAAAGGTAAAATATATGCTTATGGCAGACAGTGATAAAAATTAAGAAGAAAGTGATATAAAACATAGATGTGCCTAAGGCACTCACAATTATTACTTCCACTTCGCCATTCTTGTGGTAATCATTGCATACCATCGTTTGTAGCTCTCTTTCTCCTTAATATATTCTTGTCAAGGTCACCCACAATCGTCTCCTTAGCAAATCCACAGTCAATTTTCAGCTCTCATTTTAACTTAATCTCTAACTCCCTCTTCCCTGAACCTCTTTCTCCCTGTAACTTCTTTATGTGCTAGAGCCAGGTCCCATAGTCCCATGACAGATGACTGATAGTTTAGGAATTTTTGTGAATGGCTTGAAATCAGTCATGCTGGGAGAATTTCCACCCTGAAAATTAGCAGGCACTACAAATCAAGGCTGTTTTTCTCCTCAGAGTTTTTGTGCTTCTGACACTTCTGCTTCTATGATACCACATCCTTTTGGCTTTTTATCTTACCTTATGGACTGCTTCTTTTGAGCTTTTCTAGCTTTCTGTTTTTTCTATCTTCTAAATGCTGGAATATCAATATTCCAGGCTATTTGATTCGTAAGTCCATAATTCCCTGTCTCAGGGTTATACACTTAACTGTCTTAGTTACCTACTGTTGTTAAACAGAAATACCACAAATGAGTGGCTTTAATAAATGGATTTTCCTCCCATAGTTTCAGAGGCAGGTAGTCTGAATTAAGATGCCAGAAAATGAAGATTTTCTCCCTTTACCTGTTCTTGAGGAAGAACCTTGTGTCTTTGTGCTTATGTATCCGGGAAATATTTAAGTGGCTTAACATCTTTTCTTACCTATTTTTGCTTTCTCACTCCTTTAATCTCTTTTATATCTCAAAAGGTGGGATTATAAAATCATATAATTACTTGGGAAGGCAGTTTGGTGTTTCCTTAAAAAATATGACCATGGAAATTCCATATGACCCAGTTATTACACTGCTAGGAATATACTCTGAGGATAAGAGAACTGAGAGACAAATGGAGATTTGTGCAACCATCTTCATAGCAGCATTATTCACAATAACAAGAAAATGGAAACAGCCAAAATCTCCATCAACAAATGAATAGATTGAGAAAATGTGGTATATTCACATGATAGAATACTATCAGCACACAGGAGCAAAGATTTTGAAAAATACTATATAATATGGGAGAGGTTGGAGAGCATTATGCTGAGTGAACTAACTCGGTCTCATATTGACAAATACTATATAAGATCATTATTGTAAAAATAGAAGGATTACTCGTAAAATGTATACAGGAGTCCAAAGTGGAAGAGGAGATAGGAGGAGGCCTGAGGTAGGGAGAGGGGATCTTGAGAGCATAGAGTTATATGGGCAGAGTGAGGGGTTAAAGAATGTAGGCAAGATCCAGTGGGGACTGGAAAAGTTGGGTTTATGATGGGTTTGGATCAATGGTGATTAATTTTATACAATATAATGTATGGAAATGATACTATGAACTTTGTATGCCAAGCAATATAAAATTAAAAAATTAAAAATATTTTTGCAGTATTTATCCTTACCCTAATCCTATCTCATGCATATAACAAAGGCAACCTACTTTCAATTGAGATTATAAACACAGATGTCCTTCTCTCTCCCTCTTTGTCATTTCCGTTGAATCAGAACCAGTGAAAGCATCGCTGACCCCTCCAGTGAGTGCTGTGAGGCAGGAAGAGTGTTCATCTTTTTCCCACTCAGAAACTGGTAGACTTATACTGCCTGCCTTTGGTTTGGAAGTGCAGCTCTCCATCAACCAGGCCAAAGGAGCTCCCGACTAGAAGCATGGATGTACAACACATATTTTGCGTGACACAAGTCAAGCCATAACATTCTAATCTTTGTCCCCCCTCTAAATTCTATGTAAAGAAACGAAGGTCATTTAAAATAAAATAATCTACACCTGTATAGGGAGCTTTAGTGGCTTAGTGGTGATGACCTGTCTTTCAGGTCATCAGACCTCTCAATCATAGAAACTAGGATATGCAACACGTATTTTGGAGGACACAGTCAACCCTAGTATTCTGTTCTTTCCCCTCCTCCAGATTCTATGGAAGGAAATGGAAAGGTCATTCAAAATCTTTTTGAAAAAAAAATTAAAAAGTAATTGATACATGTATAAATAATTGAGATGAGAGGAATTATAGAATTAATTAGAAAACTTTATGTAAAGATTTTCAGAAAATTTACAACTTAAAAATTGCAATTGATATCACACTGGAGTATTTTGTATTCACAGTGGAGAGAAGGGGATAATATTGGAACCATAGCTTTTATTTAAGAAGATTGGAAATGACTTGCTTTTAAGTTAACATGAATGTGTTAAACTTCAGTCACTAACCAAGTCATGGAATAATTTGCAAGAATTCATTCCTTTTCTTCCTTCTTTATTTTTCCTACTACTTTAACTTTAAAAAATTACTATTTTTAATGGTATAAAATCAATAATGCATGTAGAACAATGATTAAAAGATATATAATCTTTATTTCCATTGATATATCATATATTTATTATGAAGAAATAGTCAAGATATTTCACTTTGAAAGGGCAAAAATTAATGGCAATCTAGAAGAATAAGAATACTTCAAGATCATTTTCCTCATTATGAGGCTATATATTCTGCTATTTTCCATTTTATAATACTATTAAATATCTTTTTATCTTTCTTTTAGATAATAATAACATATATATACATAAATTTATTTTTTAATTGATAATGTAAAATTCAAAGATGAAACATTATTAGAAGACAACAAATAATTCTATAACAAATTGATAAAATATCGACTTTTTTTGCCATAAGATCAACTACTTTTTACTGAAACAGGAAAGAATATTAGAAAATCAACATTTTATATCAGTCATTTATTTGGTTTGACTAGTTTATTGTGTATTGAATTCTAAGATCTGTGTATCATGTTGTATTGTTAACCAAAAGGTTCCAATCCAACAGCTGTTGAAAGAGAGGAAGATGTGTAGTCTCATACCGTTCAGATTTACAGCCCTGGAAATCCAAGGGAGGGTCGCTATGAGTCATGGTAGACAGGGAAACAGTGGACTGGAATTGGCCAATCCCTTGATTCTATCAGTCTAACTGAGATTTACTGAGTCCTCGTCCTACCATCTAACGATATACCTGCACAATCCTTCCTTTGTTCATGAACTCTCTTTGCTCAAGAAATGGACATCTTGTTATATAAAAATGATATGAGTCTTTCTTGTTCATGACCAACATTAGAATCCTATTGTGCATTAGGAATTTATTAACTGTGAAAATTGCAAATATAATATGTTGAATTGGCAGAGATAGTGAATCAAATCCAGGTTTCAAATGAAATCCACACATTTTGGAGATTATGATGCTAATGCATAATGGTATCAACATGCTTGACTTCACCATTACTGCAAAAACACAAATAAGTTCCAAAGGCATTTCTTGAAGTATAAAAGATGTATGTGTGTTCATGCCATTTGATGATAATTTTATGTGCTTAGGTTTAGGATTCACTTTCGTCCCTTAAGCCCTACTCTTTGGTTTATGCCTAACATGCTAAGTAGGCCCATCTGCAGAATTGAGACATCTGAATATATGATGAAAAAGTGCATGTTTGGGCCATGCTGAGCAGACGTCATTTTTTATTTGATCAAATTTGAGCTCCAGATCTTAGATCACACATGGGACACAGCCTTTGGCAACTCTGGAAGGAATGTATTTCAGATGGTGCCGTTGATTTACGAGAGGAAGGTGTCTGAGACACTGCTCCTTCCGCATCCATTAACTGTCTACTACCTGCATGTTGGACCAGAATAGCCTTCCAGAATAAAAAGAAAATTTAATAACAATACAAATAATGCCCAGATACTGAATAAGCATTTCATTTATTACCATTACTACAAATTTTACAAAGGAAGGAGGACAACCATATTTGTTTCTTAGAATAAAAGTTGCTTAATATTATAAAATAAACTTTATGGACTAATTCATGATAGACTTTCTCTTTAAAAGGCAAGTTATTCTTCCAGAACTACCCACAAAACTAGCTACGTTTTATAGGTGAAAAATCTTATTAGTGCATTAAAAGATGCAAATCTTCATTTGACTCAGAAAGATTCAATATTAAAACTTAGATCTTGTGTGTTTTTATTCTTTATACAACTCCATTGATGAGTTAAATAGCAATGCAGGAGTATAGTTTTGAAAATCAATCTAAAAGATAATATTTGACTCTTAGGTTACGATACCATAGCATGAATTTCCTTTCTCTTTAATAATGTTCATGGTCCTTTCCTTCAAAGCATCTGTTCTAAATCAGTCTATTTTCCTATTGCTTTTAAAATCAGGTCAAGGTTAATCTCCTATTCCATGTTTGCTTTCTAGGCATTAGTCATGAAACTGCCGATGAAAAGGTGATTTTTGGCATTGAATTTAATTCAACCTTTCTGGAATGTATACCTAAATCCCAACAAGCATCTATTAAATGGTATGTCCAAAGACAAGGAGATGAGCATCGAGAAGAGGTAAGCTATTGTAATCAAGGCATGCTTGGCTTGAGGGAAGTAGTAAAAAATATCAATTAATTGTTTGGTTGTAAGAAACATTCATTTTTTAGCATCACTTGGTACTCTTGATATTACTTATTAGAAGAAAAATAGCAGTTTTTGTTAATATCAATGGTAACAAAAGCTTTGAGTTTGGAATAAACAATTTAACACAAGTATTTAAAAAATACAAGTAAAAGTAGACAAATATTTTTAAAAATTCTATAATCATTTTCACTTTTGTTTCATCTTAGGTTATCTATTCTTTATAATAATCCCATGATCACAGACAACAACTACAACAACAATAAAAATCTCTCCTTCCCTTCCACACACTCAGAGGTATACAACAACCAAATATTATTTCTTGGTATATGTCACTTGCATTATAAATTAAAACATATTGAGCATATACAACAATGGTAAAGTCTATCTTTATCATATAATATGAAGAAGTTGGCTAAGTATCTGAACATATCTTTTTATTTATGGTTTAAACTTCAGTCAGCAAAGAGTAAAGTAATACTGATGCTCTGTTTATGGTTTGATTCTTTTCAGTTTTAGTTTTTGTGCATATGTCTATCATTGAAACATGTCTCAGATATGTAGCTATACATGCTACTGCATTTAGTGAAATAAGTTTAGGTAATTTGAGAAATCTTAGATTTGTGTTATTTGAATGACGAGAAAGGTTAAAATTTGGCAGAATTTCTGGTTTGTTTGGGTTTTTTTGCTATTGAAATCTCAAAGAGAAGGCAGCCATCTTCAGTTTGAAGTTCTGAAATGTCCAGTATTAAACTAAGGGCACTGTGACAAGCAGTGTTGAGAAGGTAGGCTTCAATTAGATGTCTTAAGTTGCAACCCGGTCCCTTGCAGTAATATCACTAAGCCCCTCTGGGCTTATAAAATATTGACAAAATAAACTCCTTAGTTGCATTTTTAAAAAGCCAAATGAGAAAAAAAAATATATATATATTTCAATGTGGAAGCAGAGATGCTTAAAATTATTAACAAATGCAGGTATTCTTTATCAGAGAGAAGGTATGGAGAAGGAAGAAGCATCAGTTGATCCTGTATTTATAAAGTGCTTATTGCACCTTTGATTTGACTGCTTCGGGATCATGGGCATGTTAAAATCAAGAGCGTTGAGTTTCTTCTGCAGGACTGTTTAGTGCTATTGAGTCAACTACTACTAATAGTGAACAACATATCAAAGCTTTGCCCTGTCTTGGGTCATCCTCAAGATCTCTGGCACTTTTGCATAGTCAGTTAATCTCATTGAGGGCCTTTCCTCTCTTTTTCTGACCCTCTATTTAAAAAAAAACAAAAAAAGAAAGAAAGAAATAAGAAAAGGTACTTCTGGGTAGTATAAGTAGCTGCATCAATTGTTCTCTTAAACTTCAATTTCTGTTAACAAATCTATAAATATTTAAGGATTAGAATAGGTCAAGCATTAGTCTATAACACTTCCACTCACTTTTAATTATAATTACGTTAGAGGAACCAGGCCATTATGTTAAAATTGGCATTCTATGAAAATGGAAAGTTATCCAGTCACTCCAGTCTAACAATATAGGCCCTTAGAGAAGTCAACTGCCACCTTTGCCTTCATCTCCCCTATGTCACTGCAGGAGGGCTTAGCCCATCATGCTCATAGAATGGCCCAAGGACCACTCCCTTCCAGTTCTCTCTCCTGCCCTCACTGTATTTTCAGGATATGTAATCCTGGCTCATCTCCTCATAATCACCTACCATTGGTATTGAAGGCAGCGTGCTTCCTGTCAGAATAAAGGCCTGGGAACCATGGGGTGGGATGCCTGCTTCCCCTGCCACCCTTTAACCTAGGCATCCCTCAGTACTCACTTGAAAGCCCTTGATCCCTTATGTCTTCATGAGACTAGATAATCCAGAGCTTCTGCTGAGGCTAAGGACATTGAGGCCTGGTATCTGCCTTTGGCCTTACACTACTGGCCACTTCCCTGATAAATCCACCACATAGCCTACCTACCCTCATCTATGCTCATCCAAAGGGGACTTTAAGGGAGGTTATGAAGCTGCAGAGGCCTTGGCCAGTTCACTTAGGGTACTGTGGGCCCCAAGCACTTGCCTACCCTTTCTAACAGCTCTTTTTTTTATGACATAAAAACAATGAAAGTTATACAAGTGTTCAGGTCTTTCGTTCATAGGGTCACTATGAATTGTCTACAACTCAATGCACCTAACAACAACAACAACAATTTTGATTATTGCATATAATCCAGTTTATCAGTGTTCTTGAACTTTTGCAACATAATTGATCATCACCATGGAGTGACTTGTTAAGTCAAGGTGGCTCATGACCTCCCTTGTTCTAGTAATTATCATTCCTTTAATGCAGCAGAGTTATCTCTCTTTGATATCCACATGATAATGAAAGCATGAACTTCAGGCAATTAACATCCCAAGTAATTTTTCATTAACATTACCATTAAAGTATATATTCTCAGATACATTTTTTTACCAACATTGTGGGCTTATTATTAATGTCCAGTATTTATTTTTCTCTCTCACAGCTCTTTTTTGACTTTGGCCATGACCTTCCCTACTACCTCAGAGCTGGGAGTTAGGGCCATGTCCTGAGATCCCATATTTCTTTCCACGAGGGCAGCCCACTGTTACGACACCAGCTCCAGTGTTCCAGCCTTAGCACCGTGTAGGTACTCAGACCTTGATAGGCAGCATCTTGTCCCTGATGCCCTACTCAAGCACCCCTCCACTCAGAGCAGGCATCCTGGCAGTTCAAGGAGACTGCACTCTCCAATCCCTGGATGTTAGTGAAACACAACGAAATAAGAACTTTCATTCTCTGCACATCTTTAGTACATAAGATATTTGCACAGTAGGTTTTTACTATTGTAAATGTCAAATGTTGGTGAATACAAGATAGTCTATAAGCGAGGAGTAAATGTAGCAGTTTGCATCCTCAAGTGATTTTACCTCCCATGGTATCTGGCAATGTCTAGGTCTTTCTGGTTGTCACACACTTTTTGTTAAGTGAATAAGTGGACTATCAGTATCTATTGACTACACTGCCAGGGGTTGAACATGTCACTAAACATGCTGGAATGTGCAGGACGATTCCTTAGAGCAAAGAATTATCCAGACCTAAACATCAATAGGGATGAGAAATCCTGGAGTAGACGAATCAAATGTTTATTGTAAGAAATGGATCTAAATTTCCACCATTACATAAGGAAGTTAATATAATTATTTTAATTTAATATCTGTAAGAACAAATTTTCCCATCATAATGCTAACTCATTCATTATGTAATTCTAAGACAATAATTTCATTATTTCTTATGTCAAGTTATGCCAACAAAACATGATTCTCTAACATAAGTGACATGCATAAACCTAAAAGTATGGGAAATGCATTACTTTAGGACTTGATTTTGAGAGTCTATTTTCACAGTATTTGTTGAAAGACTATATAATAAAGTATTAATTGTTAATCTCAAAACATGAAAAAATGTAATTTTATAAAAAATATAGAATGTTATGATTTTTTCAATATGTTCAACTTTCTTTTCATTGCAATATTTTATTCTTAAATTTCACAAGTTATTTTTAATTAGAGTGAGAGCTTATCAAGCTTGATAATTACTTTTTAGTTCAATGTAATTCTTTAAAATTTTCTGTGTGGCAAATTTAATCTGAGAGGTTTTTTTTAGTAGAAGTATTCAGCTTGGCTTAATATTATATATATATGCCTTCACATTTCTCAGGTATCTGAAAATGTAATGTGTTGCTAAACCATTATATCATATAGTCATGATGTTATCTATCATACTTCATGAATTTGGGTGAAGCATAATATATTTATTACATTTTACTTGAAAATCTTTTAGCTACAGTATTTCATCTGATGTTTTAATATGTCCTTGCAAAGAGACAGTTAAACGTTATCCAGGACATGCCGTACTGTTTCCTGAGCTGAGGAAATGGGCAAAATCCAGAGTGGATTTGAGACATTTTTCTCAGCAGGACACCCTTTACTCTTTATCCATGAGGTCATAGTGTAGAATCTTTTCTCTACTGAAAAATAGCCTGGGAAACAGGGTCAGGATCTCCTGAGGCCACAAGGCTGTCACCAGGTTATTCTCTGCCTGTTGGAGGACATTTCCTTACTGAGCTCTCTCACAGTTGGGTGTTATTGAGGAGGTCATGAGTCAGTTATCTACTGACTTTCTTAGAAAGCTGCTCTTGTAATTAATGATGTTTATGCTCTAACCAGTGAGTTAACCTGTAATCTTCAAGCTTCTGTTGAATATTTGAGATCTGTATTAAGAAGAGAGGGGCTACTCTAAGTCACTCCTCATCCCATTTTTTTTTTCAGTGAGTGTTTAGGATATATTTAAAACATCTTCAAATATTTACATTTTATTAGTGTCTTTACTATTGATTTTCTTTAACCATAAAACAACAGGAACATGTTTGAAAATAATAAAAAATGTAAAATGAAAATGTAAAAAGACCAATATATTTTTTGATGTCCATTCCAACATCCAATTACACTTTGATCATTTTCCCATCTTATTCAGTTTTAGTACAATGTTTTTCTGTCTCATCGGCTATCATCATCTTGAAACTATAGTCCTACATGTTCTTGATTTAAAGTTCTCTTTATTAATGATTCATTTATTTGTGGAGGGCAAAGAGAAGAGTGAGGATTACCTTCTATAGTTAGTCATTGACAAGATCTGTTTCTAAGAGTGTCTTTAAGTCGAATTTTTCAGGTAAGTTGAAATAGATGCCTGCAGTTCTTAGAAAGGAGCTCTAGTGTCCGAGGCCATTGCAGTATGGTGCCTCACTAGCCAAAAGGTTGTGATTCTCTGGTGGTCCAAGTCATCCAGCTGCACTATAGGAGAAAGATGGACAGTCTCCACTTGTTAAGATTTACCACCTTGGAAACCTGATGGAGTGGTGCTATGCATGGAA